AAAAGAAATGAATGAAAAACAATGAGAAAAAGTAGGAGAAAGAAAAAAGAGAAAATAAAGAGAAAAACAATAATAATAAAACGTTATTGGGCGAAGTTTAGCATAAGCTATTCTACCACTTGACCGGTAAAATGTCTATCAAATACACAAAATAAAAATAATAACAATATATAGGGTGTTTCAGTTTATTGTTGCATAACTTTAAGATCCGATAGAACTTTTAAAATTAATGCATAAAGTCTATATAAACATGTGTCCAAAAATGCGTGGCTTCCGAAATAAAGGGTGTTTAAATTTACTTTTTAAAATAGTTTTTTTTAAATATTTCGAACAATATTTGATGTATAACAGTGAAAATTGGTATACAAGGGTTTTTTAGCACGACAAAACGAACCATGGGCATAGTTTTACTGTAGCCGCTAGAGGGCACTCTCTACTGTACCTGTAGTGTATTAAAATGACCATTCGATCATTCGTAGATGTGAATTGTGTATTGAACAATTGGGTTTACATTTCGAGCAACTACTTTAGATTTTGTATGTTTGTCCTAACTGTCAAATAGCATTTTAGTTGTAAAAAATTAATTTAATTTGTTAAAAATGATATTGGAAAATTAAACAAATTAATATTCTGTTTTTTTTGTGTTTATTTGGAGTTAGGAATTATTGCTGGTTTACAAACACAATCTAAACGATCATCTTAATTACTTGTAATGCCCAAATCGAAAATGTAAAAAAAAATATTATTTTCCCATAAATAATAAAAAATGCATCGAACCTTAAAAATCGAAATATCTCAAAAACGGCTAACTATAACGAAAAACTCACAGGAGAGCTTTTTTATGCAGAATTGTGCGAAGAATCAGTTTTTTTATTCAAAAAGCAAAAAATTGCACTAAGAAAAAAATTTCGGTCATTTTAATACACTACAGGTACAGTAGAGAGCGCCCTCTAGCGGCTACAGTAAAACTATGCCCATGGTTCGTTTTGCCGTACCAAAAAACCATTGTATACGAATTTTCACTGTTATACATCAAATATTGTTCGAAATATTTAAAAAAAACTATTTTAGAAAGTAAATTTAAACACCCTGTATTTCGAAAGCCACGAATTTTTCGACCCATGTTGATATAGACTTTATGCATTAATTTTAAAATTTCTATCGAATCTTAAAGTTAGGCAACAATAAACTGAAACACCCTATACCACTAAAAATGCAGAGGTTTCAACATACAAATGAATTGAGAGATTAATTTATCTCGATAATTTCTCTAAAATGATTTTTCTAAATACTTTTTGAAATTCTTGAAATTTAAAGCTTTAGTATCGGAGGGTAAAGCATTGTACATGGCAGTATCATTATAAGTAAAACATTTATTCGAATATGAAGTTCTATTGTTCTTGTGTCAATGAGGCGGATATCTCGTGAGTGAATCATTCAAAATGGAGGAATTGGCGTATGAAGATAAAAAATTTGAGTGGATTAGGAATAGATAACCATTTCAATTTTATGTACGAGGAGGTAAGGTGGCCATATTTTTTCAAGTTACAGATTAAGCTGCAACATGAATTCTGAACTTTTTGCAAGCGCTTGACAGATACTTAACGGATGATAAGCAATGTCGCGGAATGTAATTTTTGAAACAATTATTGACCCACAGAGAATATTTTTCAGTTTCGTGATCGAGAATTTGTCTGCTCAAGTATAATTGCTCAAGTACTAAAAAACCACTTTTTGTAACATTGTTCACATGCGGAATAAAGTTCAAACATGCATCATGAGATATGCCTAGATTGTTTACAGTTCCACATGCTTTTATAATTTCACCATTTAATGATATAGTCGAATATTTCTTAATTTTATTTCTATTCTTGACGATCAGGTAATTGACCCTTTCGGGTTACCCCCAAAGTTGTTAGGAGAAGGATACCTTAGATTTCTAGCCGATAACCTACCAGAACTTTTGGAACAGACCTTAGACAACATGCCATTACAACGGAAACAGAATTTGTGGTTTCTTCATGACGGGGCACCACCACACATTTTTAGAGGGGTCATTCAGCATTTGAGTGAACATTATCCAAATCGCTAGACCGGTTTAAATGCTCCTGATCCTCAAAAATGGCCAGCAAGATCTCCTGACCTCAATCCGAGGGATTTCTGGTATTGGGGAGATGGTTTATGGGGCTGGTCCTAAATAGTTAACAGAAAAAAGAACGGAAAAAAGAAACGAAAGTTGTACTAAAGGGCCTTGAGGATAATCGTGCTACCATATAAAGATATTTTTTTTTTGCTTTTCAAGAATCTCTAACTGTTTCGGGCTGAGCTTAATGATTTTCCAGTTTTCTTTTATGAACACCCTGTATATGTATTATTACACGTAATGATGAATTGTATCGCAGAACTATGGACCTGCTAAATCATTGAAGCGAATGCACTGGCCCGGCGTGTTAATCGAATAATCCAATAGACAGATCAAAATACGATAAATTATGAAACACATGAATATATGTATATTCGATAATTGGAAGTAATTTGTGCAGTACTCCGAATAAGCAAAAAGTATTGGAAAATGTTAGAGGAATAAACATGTATACAGAGATAATTCAAAGTGAGTTTATGTGCGCTACATGGCTATTCTGTGTTCTATACAGGGTGTTTCAGTTCATTGTTGCATAACTTTAAGATTCGATGGAACTTTTAAAATTAATGCATAAAGTCTATATAAACATGGGTCGAAAAATGCGTGGCTTCCGAAATACAGGGTGTTTAAATTTACTTTCTAAAATAGTTTTTTTTTTAAATATTTCGAACATTATTTGATGCATAACAGTGAAAAGTGGTATACAAGGGTTTTTTGGTACGACAAAACGAACCACGGGCATAGTGTTACTGTAGCCGCAAGAGGGCGCTCTCTACTGTACCTGTAGTGTATTAAAATGACCGAAAATTTTTTCTTAGTGCAATTTTTTGCTTTTTGAATAAAGAAACTGATTCTTCGCACTTTTCAACATAAAAAAGCTCTCTTGTGAATTTTCGTTATAGTTAGCCGTTTTTGAGATATTTCGATTTTTAAGGTTCGATGCATTTTTGATTATTTATGATGAAATAACGTTCAGTCAGTATCTCGATAATTTTTAGAAGTAGGCTATGCCTGCAAATACTTTTGAAATTGAAAGCAGAATAAGGTTAAACGTCAATTAGTTGACAGTTAGTTTTGTTATCTGTTGAAACCTGAAACGTTTTTTTGCAATTGTGAATGCACGAGTTTCTTTTACCTGTGTTTTTTTGTAAGTTTTATAAAAATGCCATTTTTATTCTCCAATGAAGAGTTAGCGGATATTCATTTTGTGTATGGCTTTGTAAATGAAAACGCAGCAGAAGCAGCCAGAGAATACGCACGAAGATTTCCAAACAGACGACATCCAACTCGCTCAGTATTTGTAAGAGTGCATCGTCAAATAACTGAAAATGGTTTTGGAAATCCCCAAAGGAATCAAAACATAAATGTTCGTCAGCGCAGATTTACCCGTATGATTCTGCGTAAGCTTGATAGAGATCCGACCCAAGTGTTAGGAGAGTTTCTGGTGCCTTGGGAACTTCAGCAAGCCATGTTCACCGTGTTCTTAGAAATGACCATAGACGTCCTTACCATTTGCAAACTGTGCAAGGACTACAGACAGGTGATGGAGAACGAAGACTCACATTTTGTCAGTGGATTCTTGATAGAACTGATAATAATAGGGAGTTTTTAAGTAACGTTTTATGGACCGATGAGTCATGCTTCACTAGACATGGAATGGTAAATTTTCATAATCAACATATTTGGTCGCTTGAAAATCCGCATGCAGTTCGGGAAAGAAATGTTCAGCATGAATTTAGTGTGAACGTGTGGATTGGTATCTACCGTAATCGACTATTTGGACCCTACCTTTTGCCTGCAAGGTTAAATGCTAAGACCTTCTTGGAATTTTTAAAGGCTGAACATGCAAATATGTGGGATGATGTTATGTTAGATTTAAGAAGATTGGACTGGTTCCAGCTGGATCGTTGTCCAGCTCATTATTCGAGAATAGTTAGAAACTGGCTGGACGAAAATTATCCAGAAAGATGGATCGGCCGTGAAGGACCAGTCGCCTGGCCTCCACGATCCCCTGACCTAAATCCATTAGATTTCTTTGTGTGAGGATTTCTAAAAGAAAAAGTGTATCAGACTCCCGTAACCACAGGAGATATGCTAATAGACAGAATCAGGAATGCATGTGATGAAATAAGGCCTTATTTGAATAATGCCACGTTCGATCATTCGTAGATGTGAATTGTGTATTGAACAATTGGGTTTACATTTCGAGCAACTACTTTAGATTTTGTATGTTTGTCCTAACTATCCAATAGCATTTTAGTTGTGAATAATTAATTTAATTTGTTAAAAATAATATTGGAAAATTAAACAAATTAATATTCTGTTTTTTGTGTTTATTTGGAGTTAGGAGTTACGCTGTGTTTAATAACACAATTTAACCGATCATCTTAATTACTTGTAATGCCCAAATCGAAAATGTAAAAAAAAATATTATTTTCCCATAAATAATTAAAAATGCATCGAACCTTAAAAATCGACATATCTCAAAAACGGCTAACTATAACGAAAACTCACAGGAGAGCTTTTTTATGCAGAAAAGTGCGATGAATCAGTTTTTTTATTCAAATAGCAGAAAGTTGCACTAAGAAAAATTTATCGTTCATTTTAATACACTACAGGTAGGGGAGAGTCCTCCAATACCGTCACCTTAAGGTTTATCAACAAAAAAATCAAAATACTTATGGTTACATGTTTAAAACCTCCTGATATGTGTAAAGGAACTATTATGCTATTAATATAAATAATAAACAACTAGTAGGTTCAGAAGTAATCAACTTTATTATTGCAATACGAACACTAGAAAAAATCAGACTCAAAAAAATTGGCCTCCAGTACCGGCCAGTGATTAAGTAACCATTTATACAATACAATAATCGCAAATATACTGATCAGATAGCTCTGATACGTTTGCACAAGCCTCGTGGACCCAAATTTTGCAGTTTCCACATTGTATCCAATCCTCTTCGTGAGATTCGGCACACAAAGGACAAACTGTTTCTTCAATCGATCTACGAGGAGGAGGTAGGTTTTCGTTTTTATTTGTTTTTGTTTTCTTACTGACATCTCTTCCTGACAGCAAGCTTTTTCCCTTTTTAATAACATCTTTTTCTGAAACATTAACTTTCTTTTTAAGTTGTTCGACATTCCTTTTATCTGCCCTTTTCTCTTCCAGCATCCTTTTGTATGGAGAACTTGTTATAATTTCACTTCTTTCAGCTTTACGACGTCTTACAGTAGTTCTTCTTTTGGAAGCATCAGGAACCGGTGACAGTTCTGTAAGTGCAGCTTTAAAATTTTCTCTGGATTTATCAGCAATAACTTCTGTTTGAGTTTCTACTTGTTGAATAGATAAAATTTCAGATTCGGCGTGAGTAGGAGTAGTTTGAGTCTCGGATTGTATAGAAGTTGTAATGTCAGCTAATAAATTAGAAGTTGGAGTTTGAGATCCAAGTTGTCGAGAGGAAATGGATGTAAGTTCTTGCTGTGTAGAAATAGAATTTGACAGATTTGAACAAGCAGATGTTGAAGGTGTCGGTTCGGTTAGTTGAGAATGTGAGAGCGATGATTCTGTTGCTGATTGACTTTCTGTAACATTCGTCATGTCGGAACCAATGAAATCTAAATCACTGAAGATATTTCTATCAAAGGGGTGTATGCCAGTGCAGTGGAAGCCATTAACCGCGATATCCATTCGCGAAACTCGATTAAAAGCAATAGCAACAAACCCTGCAATCTCGTATTCACTGATTCTAATAGCAGGGTTTGCCCTCATCCACAAGTCACATGCATCATTGTACGCAGATTTAAATGGCTTCATGAACGTACGATCCAGTGGCTGTAACTTGTGGGTCGTGTGAGGTGGGGTGCTTAACATATGAATATTATTTTTTCTGGCAAACTCAATGACATCTAAGTCTTTATGACTAGCATGCCCATCTAGAATCAAGAGTACGGGATTCTGGGCTGTTGGATTAGAATATTGCACAAAGTGTTGCATCCATTTCAAAAATAATTCGGCATTCATCCAGCCGTTTGGTTGAGCTTCACCTACACTCTCATTTGGAGCATTAATCATTAGTCTTTCATTCATTCTGTTTCGTGGAAATATGAAATAAGGTGGTACGAACTGACCTCCAGCGCTCATTGCAAAAAGCACTGTAACGTTCTTTCCACGTTCTGCTGACGTAAGCTTTCCGACTTGCCTTTGGTTTTTAGTAGCTAACCCTTTAGCATGTTTTTGAACAATGCTAACTCCAGTCTCATCACAGTTCCATATTTTATAAGGTGTGAATTTAAATCTCTCCATCAAAGTCTCAAGACCATCAAAGAATCGCATAACCTGAGGCCTGTTAAATCCTACTGCTCTCATTAAACTCGTTGATTCAGCAGTTCGCAATGATAAGTCACTATGTCTTTTCATAAACGAATAATAGTAATTTTTCCCTGCAGATTGTTTCTCTTTATTGAACTGGTGAGGTAACTTTAATTTCTCGGCCAGTTGGAAAGCGAGACGTAAAAATTCTTGTCTGTTTAAAGGCATTAGCCTGTTGGCCAAGTCTTTAACATGCGATGCCAATATTTCTTCATGTTCTGGTGCAAAAGTATTGTGAAAACGACCCATAACTGGCTCAATAGACATCTCTTTATTACTTTTAATAGCTTTAACTCTATCATTCAAAGTAGATCGTGGTACCTGATAGCGTTCTGCGGCTTGACGAGCACTTATTTTATGATTCAGTACCTTTTCCACGGCCTTATGCATGTTGGCAGGATCCCAGGTGCCCTTCTTTTGCGTTGTCTGACCATCATTCCCGTGACTTGACATTTTTGTATATCTGAAAGTAAAACAAAACAATTAAAAACGATCTAATAGAATGGCCGGTACTGTAGGACAACATTATGTCCGGTACTGGAGGAAACGAAAAAAAAACTAAATTCGATTTCTAACGAACATGAATGTACAAAGGTTAATTATAAAGACACTTTTCTATAGATATATAAGTACACTCTACTTACCAGTAGTTATTTGTTTTAAACTGGATCTCTGAACTTCGAAAATTGTGAATAGAATTTTAATTACGTAGTTAGCGTCCATCACGCGCAACTAAAATCTTTGAACTGGAAGTAAACTTGTCGTTGCAAGTTAACGCCGCGCGGGGAATATCATCCCGTGAGTGTATTGCACAAATCACGATAAAAATTTCAGCGCCATCTGTTGTCAGGTTGTAGAATTTGCAACTGGCTGGTACTGGATGCCGGCCGGTACTGTAGGACTCTCCCCTACAGTAGAGAGCGCCCTCTAGCGGCTACAGTAAAACTATGCCCATGGTTCGTTTTGTCGTACCAAAAAACCCTCGTGTAGCAATTTTCACTGTTATACATCAAATATTGTTCAAAATATTAAAAAAAAACTATTTTAAAAAGTAAATTTAAACACCCTGTATTTCGGAAGTCATGCATTTTTCGACCTATGTTTATATAGACTTTATGCATTAATTTTAAAAGTTCTATCGAATCTTGAAGTAATGCAACAATAAACTGAAACACCCTGTATACAAAATGAAAATACAAGAGTATAACGGTGTCAGATTTATGCATATTAGATAACAATTTGGAAATTAGTTCCGATATTGCATACACGTAAAATAGAAATATTCGACAGCAAAGTTGTGTGATACAATTCCTGGGGTGTCACGGTGTCCACCATAGATTGTTGATACAAGTATGGTACAGCTTGCAAAATTATTCCAGTCAACAAAGTTAACATTCTAAAAAGACTACAGAATTCCTTTAACTAATTCACGAGTTATTCGGGTGTCTATCACAGTTCCGAAACAAAATGCATATGCATGCTGCAGCTTTTCATCTGATGGAGTTAAAAGCGTTGCAATTTCAGTTTTGTTCAGCTTCGACACCATGGATACTGCCAAGGGAAATAAAGCTTAATCCCAAATGCGCATCCAAAAAATGAAAAATTTCGTCGATGAATTCCAGTCCACTCCGTTTCAAACTACAGTGCCTGCGAAAAGCTCCTGATCATTAAAACAAAGTTTTCTAACAGCCACCCAAAATAGTGATTTACGTATATGGGACATTAACGGCTCGCTTGCGGCACGCGGCTAAAATTAGAGCCCAGGGTATGAAATATTGCTGGCTCTAACATTATAATTCTGCAAAAAGGTAACACTGCCACCTATCAGTAGTGATTCGACCTTCGACCGGATTAGGGGTTGCCTGGAAAGCTAGAAGAAGATGGCGCTAGTTAGGCTGTACGTCATATCTGAGGTCATGAATAGACAAGCATGTCAACTGTGTGTATGTGAAAATAGGTTACCGAATCTATATTTTTTCCATCGCCTTCCTATCAATTCCTTTTCCCATCTACGTCAGACAGATTTGACTCCCCAACAACATAAGCGCCACTTAGCTTACGTCCAAATTTATTATTATTATTATTATTATTATTATTATGATAATTGAGATGAGCAGAGTACACAGTACTATAAGCTCATGCAGTAAATATAGAGTACGGACACGTAACACAAATACATCAAATAGAAAAAATAAAAAAAGACAGTTCATAGCTATAAAGTTTGTACACTCCTCCAGCTATCATACTGCACTTTGAAGCTATTAACTGAAGTAGCACCAACCACACTTTCAGGTAAACTATTCCAGGTGTTGAATATGCGGTTGGGAAGAAACCACTGTCGGACTGTTGTTTTAAATGGCTCCTTATGCAGTTTGAAGCTGTGTCCGCGTAGATTGCTGCGCGACAGACGGTATAGATGCATGAGGTTGGTGCCCATCAAACCATGAAGTATCCTGAACGTAACTATAAGATCGCCACGAAGTCTTCGCTCAGAGGATGAGGCCAGGTTGAATAAGCACAGTGTCCCATACCGGGCCAGCGAATTCAAGAATTGACCTCACGAATGCCTTGTAAGTGTAGGCGCAAGTGTTGACATCGGACCCTTTGAAAGACCTCTCCAGCATGTATATAAGTTTCTTGGCTTTTGATGTAACGTGGTGAATATGCTCTGACCAGGAAAGACGATCGTTGACTACAACGCCCAGATCAGTGTGGCTGGAAACTGCTTCGATGTTGTGGTCAGAGATCTTGTATGTAAATCGCGGATTTATCTTCCCGAGGTGAAGGACACAACACTTAGTTAGATTTAAGGGTAAAAGCCAACTGACTGACCATTGACAAACAATACCAAGGTCTCGTTGAAGCATAGCAGAATTTACGACAGTATTGTAAATCTTGGTGTCGTCGGCATAAGCTGAACATGTGGAGGAAATCAATGCGGGCAGGTCACTTGTATACAGAAGGAACAGCACTGGCCCCAAGACATAGCCTCGAGGAACTCCACTTGCTACATGATGAAGGTGAGACTGGCTATCACTGACGCACACAGAGAAAGTCCTCTCGGTGAGAAAAGCCTTAATCCACAGTAACAACTCGCCTCTTATTCCCATACATTCCAACTTAAACAGAAGCCTTCTATGTGGTACGCAATCGAAAGCCCTAGAAAATCTAAGTAGATTATATCAACAGGAGTCTTAGTGTCCAGATACAGAGTCCAATCGTTGAGAGAGTGGAGAAGGTTGGTCATTATTGATCGACCAGGGAGAAATCCATGCTGATTCTTAGGGATAAGGTCATTTTCGAAAGCAAATGACAGGAGCTTATCTAATATGATTCTTTCAGCTATTTTGGCGGCGATAGGAACGAGACTTATTGGTCGATAATTTTTAGCGGAGGATTTGTCGCCCTTTTTGAATACAGGGGTAACAGAAGCACTAAGCCAGCATGAGGGTAGGGTATCAGATCTAAAAGACGATGCGAATATCCAGCTTAATGGTAGGGCCAGTGCTGAAGCGCAGTTTTTAAGTACAGCAGCCGTCATCCCATCTTTACCAGGGGAGGAAGAGGTCTTCAGATTTCGCAGGTGCATTAATACATCTTCAGGCAGGAACTCAACTTCGCAAAGGCTGTTGGGACACCTATGGCAGATAGTGGTCGGTAGAAGGTCTCCATTAGGTTCATCGACGAAGTCATCACTAAAGGACTCTGCCAGTAAGTTGACAGATTCGGTGGCATCCATGTGGAGATGACCGTCAGCGTCGCGGATCTGAGGTGATGAAACTTTGGACTTCAGGTTTGTTTTAAGATACCGAAACAGCATCTTCTTATTTTTGGAGGTAACGAGTTTTCGTTCATAAGCATGTTTGGCATTATGTAACGTTCTAGATAGGAGGTTAGAAAAGGATCGATGAGACACGTAATCTTGTGAATGGCCACTCCTCCTAAACCGTTCCCACAAAGATCTCTTGTGACGAAGCATCCTCGATATGTTAGAGTTGATCCAGGGCTGTGAGGGGTCACAGTATACCTTCTTTTCCACAGTATTGTCAGCCGTTTCGCTTAGGACTCGTTGAGCGAAAGTGTCCCACATATATTGGGTGCTACGGTTGTTAAGCAAAGCAGGCCAGTTGACTTCAGACAGTGCTTGGTTAAGAGCATCGTGGTTTACAATTTTGATGGTTTTAAACTTATCGGTTGTAGAACGACTATTTATATTGAACTGGAGAGAAGATAGAAGTGAACAGTGGTCAGACTTGCCAAAAGGTGGCAAATAATCTAAATTAGAATCAAAGTGTGGAATAAACTCATCCAGTCTTATGGTGACGGGTTCTCCTCTTTATCCCTCAACCATGGATGGGTCTTGGCTCCAACACTATTTCTCTTTCATATCAACGACCTATTTTCCTGAACGATCAGTCCAATCCACAGCTTTCCTGATGACAGCGCTTTGCATGCAGGAACTCGGAGTGACAAGCCAGTATCTACCTGTGTGCTAGAATCAATGAGAATAGCTGCGGCTTCCTCTATGATGAAAGACCTTGATGTTACGAATATTACTGCCTGGGGATGCAACAATCTTGGACAATTTAATGCTGTACCTTGACGAACAAAAAGCGACATAGTGCTCATCGGTTTCGATGGACGGCCAGGTTCTACCAAAAACCGTTCGCTTCGACTGGTTGGATTCCAGATCATCGAAGACCTGATCTCGCACGAACATAGCGGCAGACGCCTTCCATCCTAACCGTGTAGAACTTCGTACATCCAGAACTGGCCGACACGACCGCTCCTTTTTCCTAGTGTGTCGAGATTGTGGAACAGTTTGCAATAGGAGGCTTTTTCCAGTTCTACTAACTACTACTGTGCCTGGACACAAAACCATATAAATTGATCGTGCTATAGCACTGAGTGTCAGTTGTTGACATTCCATGTTGTATGTTAGATTCTTACCTGAGCATATAAGGCGGGTTGACCCCGTGCGCGGCATGCATCCCCGACATGTTCTTCAACAACGCGCGCACCTCTGGCTTCAACTCTATTCCGCCCACCATCGCAGGGGCGGTCAGCGTTGAGGAGGAGGCGTTCTCGGAGGCGGAGGCGGGGCCAGCCGGTGTTGCCAACTCGACCCTTTGCACCAGTTGCTGGAGGTCCTCCTGCCGAGAGCGGTACATCGAGTCCAGGTATTGGATCTTCACCTGCAGCTCGGCTACGCGCTGGACCAGCGACTGCTCTGAGGTTATGTCTGTAAAGAACGAAGGAGGTCAGAAAGGAAACGGGTTGTATTCTGGCACCTAAACGGAAGAGAGTTGCAAAATATATCGCACGCCATCATTGAATAATAGTGGAGTAAAACGATGTCTTCCGAGTATAGTTAGCACCTGATTAGCAAGATACAAGGATCTATGTAGGCGGTGAACTACTCGTGATTACTCGAGTTACCTCAGTTCACTACAGTATATGTCGCTGCAGATACCCAAAATTTTAGAAAAAAATCCTTTAGGGTCGCAAATCCATTTCCTTCACCAGTCAAGAGATATTGATGCTTTCCGTCTAATCTTCTTCAAAAAATGATATGGAAAAATTCCCCGCTCTGGTCTACCATAAAAGCGGAATATTCTTAAACAATTTCAGAGTGTAGTATAATTTTTAACCAGCTGAGATTGTAGAAAAATACATAAAGAAATGCATTTTTGGCAACAAAAATTATAACACACTAGTTTTCAGTCATCTCTATATCCATCATGGACCAATCAGACGAAAAGTATAAAGAATACTCCGTCAAACAGAATGTTAAAAAAAGGAAAGTGGGACGTTAATGCTAAAATGATGTGCTTCTAAATTTTAAAGTTGCACAGTACAGTAAAAAAAAAATGTTGTTCCCCGTGGCTACAAAAGAACGAAACTCGAATTACGCACGCTAATTTTTTCTATTACAAAGCCCTATTTCGACAGGGAAAATAAGCTTTCTGTTGCCGCTGGTCGTGACTACGCACACTGTTTACCCAAAGAGCGAGTTTTTTCCTAGATTGCAGATAAAGAATTAGTTTCGTAAATCTTCAACCGAACTTTTAACTACTGACTAACCTGAAGATAGCCAATCTAATGCTAAATTCCCGCGTCCGAAAACAAAATCTGAGATTAAATGAGATACCGTAGCGTCATCTATGCGAATTTGTCAAAGCTGTGTATTTAGTCTATATACTTTATTAGTTTCTCATAATTGGGATATCAGGTAAGAGATACGAAGAAAATTTGACTAAGATATATTGTACTAGAGAAAAAGAGGCAATAACGACATGCGATTTATTTTGAAATTCCCCCTGAAATTAAGGCAGGAAAAAATAAAAATGATTTGCGATTATTGTGGTATATGAAACAAATGACCATCTGATAATCTCAAGGCCTACCGTAATTCTGTTTTCTTGAAATAACTGAGATTTCGCAATGTCAACGTATGACGTATTATACATTTTTGGAATCAGAATTAAGCACTCTATTTACCTGTGCAAATATCCAATGTCGCGGCTGTAAGAGAAAGTAAAGTTGATGCTGGATGCCAAAAAATGTCATATTAAAATTCAAATTATGCAGAGGAGCAAATAAAGTCAGGAAAATATTAAAATGATATTAGGAAAATTTTTCCGTCTCTCTTCGAAATTTTTGTGACATTTTGTTAGTTTTTTTTTTTTTTTTTTTTTTTTAGTTACCGAAATACGCCACTTTGCCCCCATTGAGGCGACTTACGGACGAATTTGAAACCCCCGGTATATGACTGTTGGTGAACCAGGCTTACCCTATATTTCTACCACAAAGTTGTAACAATAAAGCTAGAACGCTGGTAGCCCTACAAAGTTTACAATAATTATACAGACATATACAGACAGAGCTTATGAAAATCGATAACCCAACATCGTTTTGTTCTGCCGATTTTCTAACGCTCCAGTCGGTATATATGCCAAGCACGTCTTCAGGATTATAGCATAGTCTGAAACTTTGAAACTCCAATCTGAATTGGTAAGTAGCTGTAAATAACGACTTTTTGTCGAAAGTTGTTTTTACGGAAGAAGTTACCAAGAAATCGTATTACTTGAATTTTCATCCCTAATATTATCCGAATGGGTTCAAGGCTATACAGGGTGTCCCAATGAAGATGCAAAGTAGTTTTTTTATTTTAAAATCATGATATAAATTTGTATGAGCTTGAAGTGATAAGTATTCAATCCCTTCTTACCCCATTTTGATGATATATTTTCTGAAACTGTTTGTTAGTAATAATTATTTTACAGGTAAAATTGAGAACAAAACATACTCTACTTTTAGGCTGGATCAACTAGAAATGTTCTAAATTGTCTACAAAACAGATTCGTCTCTGAAAAGTGTGAATGTCCTCTTTACCCCCTTTAGGGGTGGAATCTACAAAATTTGTAACTGTCCACTTACACTGCATCAAATAATGGAGCACTAAGAAATAATAGTTTCCCCATAACAGCTCTTGCCCTGTATTTGGCCCCCTTTAAGTCTAAGTTTCACAATAAAAGGTAGCATATGTCCGTCTCCAAGGTCTAATCTACATTTATGTGAAAATTCATTGAAGTCGGTTCTGCAGTTCTGATGTGAAGACGCAACATACAAACATAGATACAAACATACATACAAACATACAAACATACATACAAACATACATACAAACATACATACAAACATACATACAAACATACATACAAACATACATACAAACATACATACAAACATACATACAAACATACATACAAACATACGTACAAACATACGTACAAACATACATACGAACATACATACACACATACATACAAACATACATACATACAAACATACAAACAAACCTACATACAAACATACATACAAACATACATACAAACATACATACAAACATACATACAAACATACATACAAACATACATACAAACATACATACAAACATACATACAAACATACATACAAACATACATACAAACATACATACAAACATACATACAAGCATACATACAAACATATAGTACATACAAACATACATACAAACATACATACAAACATACATACAAACATACATACAAACATACATACAAACATACATACAAACATACAAACATAAATACAAATATACGTGCATACAAATATGCGTACATACATACACACTCTCGCATTTATAATATTAGTAGAGATACGCGCCAATTTAGTAGACTGTAAAGATTGTTTTTATAGTGATTTTTTGCTAATTATGTCAGAAGTGTATTTTTGTTTTAATAAATCTTAATTTAGAGATTTTTTAAATAAAATTTAAGCAGTTTCTTATAAAACAATGCTATTACCTCGTCTCGGAATATTGTTTTATAAAATTTCAATTGCTTGTAGATTATTTATGTTTGCTTGTTTTTATATTTTAAATTTTGTATTCCTTTTGACAAGTTCTATATATTGTATTTGTATGTGTCAATCCTTTTTTGCTTTTTGATCTACCGAAAATGTTCACAATCTACAATCTACCAGAAATTTTCGACCAAAAATACATTTTACTTTTTTGCTAGTTGGCTCAGATGTGCGATTTTTCTATTGTATTTTTGTTATAATATATTTCAGTAAGTGACAAGCGATTTAAGCAAATGCCTTTTTTGATTTTCGATACTTCGTCTACCGAAAATAGATCTTCTGTACCTGGCGACAGTGCCATCGGATGGCTCCCGGAAGAAACAGTTCTATCAAGGAAAAACTGTCTCTAAGTTAATTTTGAATCTCAAGTGTGCACTTCCAGATGCTTCCTCATCCATCCAGCGCAGTGGAAATATCTGAGCACAAGATAAGAAAGATAATATCGGTGGTCATTAATCACTTGCAAACAGCCTGCGCGTTGATGACGTCTTTTTACGCCATTTCAGGGCCACAGACAAAGCCTCGATTCGGCTCGGCTATTCAAACAGAGTTATAAAGGAAGTGAGCTCATCGCTTTCCTAATCAGATTCAATTCGGTAGACGGGCATGATAAGATCGACTTTGTGGAATAATGAACTGGATTATAGTTTGCTGCTTGGCAGGATCGGCCAGAAAGGATGAAATCGATCGACAACATCAAGGTTTTTGCCAGGGACACTATAGAAACTGCCTCTTGTTATCAGGTTGTGGATCATTGCTACCTGGTGTAACAAAACATACAGAGCGGCTCTATATTTTTATAGGTATATTTTTGAAACGGTCAAGGTCAGCTATTTACTATCTTGGAACATACACGGCGTCATATTTTAATCTCCGCACCTGAATATTTATAAAACCGAGCATTCAAGAAAAATTTCGAACAAACGCTGTAGGATTTCGTGGTTGCAAAATGATAGTGATCTTGACAATGACATATTCAAGAGAAAAAGCTCTAATACAATGCGTCGGTATCGTACCAGAACTATCCGGTTATCATTTGGTATGATTTCATACGCATGCGCTGTCGTGTCATGAGTGCAGAATTGCTTTTGAGCTGGAAGGTGGTTGGAACTAACGGGTGATTTTTTAAGAGGTATAGGATTTGATTTTCAAAAAAAAAACACAAGAAATTTGAAAAAACGATTAAATCTTTATTTGAGTCGATAGAACGGTCGATATAATGTAATGTTTAAAGATTATTTCATGTAAATGTTGGCCGCGGCTCCGCTTTAGATGGCCCATGCGCAAGGTCCAATTTTGGCACACTCTCTCCAACGTATGGGCCGGTATCTCAGGAATAAATGCTTCAATATTGGCTTCCAGTGCGTCAATCGTTGCTGGTTTATCCCTGTAGACATTAGCCTTAACATGGCCCCACAAGAAATAGTCCAACGGCGTTAAATCACACGATCTAGGCGGCCAATTGACGGGCTCCAAACGTGAGATAAACTGTTCACCGAACTTGCCTCTCAATAGGGCCATTGTTTGTGTGCGGTGTGGCATGTGGCACCGTCTTGTTGAAACCACATGTCAGCCAAGTCCAGCTCTTCCATTTTGGGCAAAAAAAAGTTTGTTATCATCGCACGGTAGCGCTCGCCATTCACAGTTACGTTCCGGCCATTGTCGTCTTTGAAGAAGTACGGCCCGATGATGCCACCGGCCCATAATCCACACCAAACAGTGATTTTTTCGGGAGGCATTGGTAGCTCTTGCAATGCTTCTGGCTGGTCTTCACTCCAGATGCGGCAATTTTGCTTGTTAACGTACCCATTCAACCAGAAATGAGCTTCGTCGCTGAACACAATTTTTCGATAAAAATGTGGATCTTCCTCCAACTTTGCCAGCGCCCATAAATCAAATTGGAAACGCTGTGGGAGGTCGTGTGGCTTCAATTCTTGCACCACCTGTATCTTATAAGGTTTTACACCCAAATCCTGCCGCAAAATTTTCCACTTAGTGGAGTAACAGAGGCCCAATTGCTGCGAACGGCGGCGAATCGACATTTCACGGTCATCACTAACACTGGCGGATACAGCCGCAATATTTTCTTCAGTCCTCACTCTACGTCTGCGTGTTGGTGGTTTAATGTCCAATAATGTAAACTGGGTTCGAAATTTAGTCACAAGCTTCCGAATAGCTCCTTCAGTAGGCCGACCAAATTACCCATAAATTGGAAGCAGTACTCGATGCACTCTCGTAACCGAGCATGAATTTTGATAGTAAAATTCAATAATTTGCAAGCGTTGTTCGTTCGTAAGTCGATTCATGGTTAAATTATAGATCAGACTGAACAAGTCTGACAATGACACAAGACACGATTCACGCGTCATCTGACAAAAACAGTGTTGCCAAAAAGATACTAGCAAAAAAATCACCCATTATTTTGGAATCGTTTTTGTAACTTCGTCACTACTGATCGCAATCGAAGCTGGACAGAATGAATAAATTACCTTCAAATAGAAAACATACATCAGAGAATGACTTTTACAGTTAGAGGCAATCACCTTACACCAGCTCTGCGGTGCAGGTTAGTTCCTTTGATTCCCGTCACCTTTATAGGGTTCTCCGGTGGATTGGAACAAAAAAAATCGATGTACCATGTCTATCATATTCTTAACGACACCTCTTTTTTGTGAACCTCAATACCGGCAGGGGGAACTGGATCATGTTAACATGGCTTTACAAGCAAACGGCTATCGCAGAGAACAAATAGAACAGGTTTCACGACAAAAATGCAGACCGCCGGTAGTCTCCTTCCTACCATACATCACGGATAGAATAGGAAGGTTGTTGCAGAAACACAACGTCAAGGCCATCTACAAGCCGACAAATAAGATCCAGCAACTCCTAACATCAGTAAAGGATGCTAGGGACCCCCGGAGCGGTGCCGGCGTATACAGAATACCGTGTTCCTGTGGTAAAGTATAGGTAGGCACCACTAAACATAGCTTCCAAACAAGCATCAAAGAGCATGAAAGAAACTGTCGACTGGGACAAACTGATAAATCGGCGGTGGCCGAACACGCACTCGAAGACGGCCACAATGTTCTGTTCGACCACACTGAAGTCCTATCAACATCCACTCACTCCTCAGCCCGAATGTACAGAGAAGCAATTGAAATCTACAAACACAATGAAAATTTCAATTGAAAAGAATAAGGCCTTGCTTTAAACAAAACGTGGTTCCCAATTCTAAAAAACATAGCGCAAAAGCCACCTCACTCAAGAGACCCAGAGTACCCCCCCTCAGTCCGGCGATCGCCCATAAAACCGTACGCTCATTTAGTTAACCGATCGGACCAACCTAGAGGAATGGTGCATCAAGTGCAAGATCCGCCTCAACCCTGAGAAGACCGAAGCGGTAATGTTCCGAAGAAATCGAAGATTACCTCAAACCAAAATAAAGATGACGACCACCAGAATCGAGAGAGGCTGGAGAAGAGACGAAGAAGTTGAGGTCGACTGGAAGGACTCCAGCACATACCTTGGAGTCAAGATGGACCAAAAACTTACTTGGAAGAACCACGTCGAGGGCCAGGTGCGGAAAGTGAAGATGGCACGCTCCAGACTAAGACCTTTAACAGGCAGAAGAAGCAAAGTGTCCATAAAGACTAAGACCATCATGATTCAGATGGTGCTGCTCCAAATCATGACTTACGCAGCAGTAGCTTGGGGCTACGTTTCCAAAACGATGAAAAAGAGGCTCCAGGCTCAACAAAACATAGCACTCTGTGAAGCGGTGGACGCACCGTGGTATGTACCTAACAGAGTGCTATATGACGAACTACGACAGGTACCGGTCGTAATCCAGATGAAAGAGAGGGCCCGAAAGTTATTTGAAAAGAACGAAAGACATCGTAATGTGCTGATTAAAGACACCTTGGATTACGACCCAAGAACAATAAGGCGTCATAAAAGACCGAAAAGCCAGCTGCAACAAGAAGAAATTTGGCCCTAGCAGCTGATGACGCCAAAGAAAAGGGGAGAAGACCGACAATAGTTGTACATCCAAGAGGGGAAAGAACAGCCCGGGTACAACGGGTGGACAAAAAGAAGCCTGTCGATTGAGATGGCCAGAGTCAAGCACGGACTCGGGGCTAACCTCAGGAGACGAATGACTAACAGCAAAAGACTGACTGACGACGACTGACTGACTCCAGTCGACGAGGAAAGGCTCACCAACAGTAATGCGGGGCTTAGGTCAAAGCCCCCAGCGCAGGACCCCCAAGAAAGAGGCCGTCCATAAAAGTCGAGAACCGACAGTTGGAAGAAACGTCCACCACGTGCTTCCGCGACGCGTGCGCGATCGAGTCAAATTTCGGGAAAAAGGGGAAAAATTGGGGAAAGGGGTTAGCTCGTTCGGCAGCACACACTCGAGGAATGCCCAGCGGCCTGAACCACGCAGCGCCACGCCAGGCCTTCGGGCGGGAGGAGCAGATTGCTCTTCCCCCCACTCCTCAAGGGTTTGAGGTTGCCTGGAACAGGGGTGGTGGAGGGACCGCACAGGGTAGGCGGGTGTGTGTGTTAACCGATCACTTTCAATCGACCCGCCAAGCCGAGCACTTCGCTCTCACCGACAGCGCCACTGAAGATGGCTACCGCAGATGTAGGCGAAAGCTATGGACCAAATCCAACCCGACCATGGCTCAACAGCCCGAACAACCTAAATTACAAAGCTATAGTATCTCATGATATATTCTCAACCATAATTTGGTCTGAAGAAGCAAAGTGTCCATAAAGACTAAGACCATCATGATTCAGATGGTGCTGCTCCAAATCATGACTTACGCAGCAGTAGCCTGGGGCTACGTTCCCAAAACGATGAAAAAGAGGCTCCAGGCTCAACAAAACATAGCACTCTGTGAAGCGGTGGACGCACCGTGGTATGTACCTAACAGAGTGCTATATGACGAACTACGACAAGTACCGGTCGTAATCCAGATGAAAGAGAGGGCCCGAAAGTTCTTTGAAAAGAACGAAAGACATCGTAATGTGCTGGTTAAAGACGCCTTGGATTACGACCCAAGAACAATAAGGCCTCATAAAAGAACGAAAAGCCAGCTGCAACAAGAAGAAATTTGGACCTAGCAGCTGATGACGCCAAAGAAAAGGGGAGAAGACCGACGATAGTTGTACACCCAAGAGGGGAAAGAACAGCCCGTGTACAACCGGTGGACAAAAAGAAGCCTGTCGATTGAGGTGGCCAGAGTCAAGCACGGACTCGGGGCTAACCTCAGGAGACGAATGACTAACAGCAAAAGA